GGAATGAAAATAATCTAAGCATGTTTTCTATATCAAAAGAATAATGAAGTAATCAAATTACTTAATTCGATCCCTCGTACCTTTTTCTATCAAAACAATACACACGTTAGTAACTGCAAAAGAAATATTAAATCAAACAATCAAAATAATATTGATTGAAATTAGATTTGGGACGAAAACCTCATAAATCATCAACCTTTCACATCTAGGGTGAAGGCAACTTTGAGCTTGGCTAGGTGTGTCGAAATCTCATGAAGAAGGAAGGGAGTTTTTGAAAAGGCTAGGCTTAGAAAATCAAGAGAGAGAGAATAAGCTTTTAGCTTAGAGAGAGAGAGAAAACAATAGATAATTGTTGGCGATTTGAAAACGGGGAATATAGACCCTATTTATAGAGAAAAACGACCTTAAACGATAGAAAAGAATCAGAATTTCAATCGGAGTAAAACTGATTCTATCGCAAAACGACATAGATGTCGCACAACGACAAGCCTGTTCCGATGCGATAAGACTGTTTTTTGCAAATTTTGTTTTTATCATAACTTTTGGTCTAGAAGTCGAAAAAGTCATATAATACGTCGTTGGAAAGCTCTTGAAATATACTTTCCAATCCAATTAAAATCAGATTAAAATCTTTTGGAGAATAAAAGATATGGCCGAAATAATGGAAGGGTGTTAGTTTTGGAAAGAGTTTCGTATTTTTTTCATATCTTTTTCGTTATAATTTGGAATTAATATTATAATATATTATTGGAAAGATAATTTCAAGGGACTTCCAACCATATAAGATTTGGATAAAAATTATGAGGCACAAAAATAATATATGATTGTCTTTGAACGTCTTACATTTCGAATAAAATTAGGACTTTCAAAAAGAGGAGTTTTAGGGCCTGTTCTTATTGACTGAACTAAGATGAACTGAACTCAACTGAACTGAGCTGAACGGAACTGAACTGAACTGAGCTGAACTAAACTGAACTGAACTGAATTAAACTGAAATGAATATTTTATAAGAGGAGGAAATTAAGAGCTGAACTAAACTGAACTGAACTGAGTTGAACTGAACTGAACTGAACTGAACTGAACTGAAATGAACTGAGCTGAACTGAACTGAACTGTATTTCAACGTAAGAGAATAGGCCCTTAGTCAAATTTAAACTCTTTAATCTTATCTTTTCAAAAAGGATAATTAAGATCTTTTTGAAACTTATATAAGCTTATAATTTTTCCTAATTGGTTTAGAAATATATTAACATTAATGGACCCTCCACATGATCATTGGGTCGCACAAAAAACACGTTTTAGGCCTATTTTAGTATTTTGACCACAACTTCCTCGTTAAAACTCGAAATTGGGCTTGTAATATATCGTTAGAAAGGTCTTTTCCACCCCATACATATACACAATCATTATACACAGATTATGGACCAAAATAAACTGATTTGGTTGTTTTTATAAAAAAAAGACACGAAATGAATGATTTTAGTTTTAAAGGCACGAAATGAATAATTTTGGCTTAAAACATTTAAAGAAAGTTTAGAAAAATGAAAATTCATGAGACCCTTCAACATTTCGCCTTGATCGATATTCAATGACGCGAAAGATACTCATCATTGGGTTTATTTTTTGGGGAGACATAATTTGGTGTCTACATATAGGATAGAAAAAAATATTGAATTTAAAGTGTTGATATAATTTTATAATTAAATATGATAAACTTTAATCTGATAATCAGTTAATGTAGTATTTAATATTTTAATGGGATAAATTATAAATGGTAATTGGGGAAAATTTGTCAGGAAAGACGGTAACACCCCCAAAATTCGAGTCTTTTAAAACAATAAGAGTAACCTTTTTAACTTTCAAAAAACCCAACCATCGATCCTTGGGAGTATTACAACTACACATATTTTTCGTTGAAAATAAATGCAAAGTAAAATAAAAATATAATTTAATAAACTAAGTGGTCTAAGTGGTGGCAAAAATAAAATACTCATTACATCCAAACTGTAAAACATTTCAAAAGAAGTAATTGGAAGGAAAATAAATAAGTTCGGAAATAAACTAAATCTTCATAGCTACGTGGTTATTCTATCGTCTCCTCACACGTAACTATGTACCCTCTTACCAACTTGCAAAATAAATCAGAAACAAGAAAAAAGAAATAAACTCTCAAAATCAAATAAACTGAGTAATCCCAACTCTATCCCTTAAAATAATAATTATTTTACAAAAACATTTTATACATAATACAGTAACATAGACATTATAATACTAAACCAATATCAAATTGTCACATAACACTTTATTGCTTTGATTAAGAAAGGGAAAGAGAATGCCAGTAAGTCGTGGCTAGTCCTCGTCACCACCTACTTTATAGAGGGTCGAGCGTAACCTCAAATAGCCATAAAATAAAACTAAATGTCCCTAGTGTGCACACCCCTCACTAATACCCATTGATTGGAGGAAGACTAAATATCAATATACGTTAATTTAAACCAACTAGTAGCAACCATAACTACTACTCGGAAACTTGTGCTTTACCCTTTTGAGTTTTATTTCCCTTATTAACTTTAATTTCATTGTACGTTGTAGTATATTAAATTGTCCGATTACATTGTACAAAAATTTTTGCACAAATCAATTTAATCTCACGTGACAATTTTCCAATTTCAGTATTATTAGAACATAGTCATTCTACATGACATAATTGTTTTGGGTGTTTTTGTCCCTCGGGAGAGTTACAGCTCAGAGACTGATCCGACTGCGCCTGTACCTGCAAAACGACGGATACTCCGGGTGGTAGGAGCTCCGCCTCCGACAATCAAGCTAGTCAGCGTAGGGGAATGAAAAAGGTGCGGGAAGTAAATATGATCTTCTCAGATTCTGAGATCAGGTCTTTTCTCTGATGTAAGAGAATGTAGGGTAGGTGTAATAAATGATTGAATGTGTCCCAAAAATGAGGGATATCTACCTATTTATAGGGTCGTTGGGAAAAGGGCCTTCTCTTAGGTCACTTGACCTAGATTTGGTGGGCTGCACCGTTTTGCAGCGTTCTTGGGAACTGGGCCTTGAAGGCCGCAATTCTAGAAGGTATCTGAGGCTGACACGTGTCAGTTGGCAATTGAATTAGCTTCTAAGCTATACCCCTAAGGTAGTTGAATTTCTAAGGTGTATTCATGCTTTTTCAAGTTTCTAAGCCATGCCCTTAAACTTCTTATCAATACTAAAATGTACCCTTATTAGTTATTTAAAAGTTAATTGAGAGTGTGATTTCGCGGCTTTAGTTTTTGTTATTCGGGTTGTTGTGGTTAAAATTTCTTTCTCGTATCATTTCCTTACCTTTTATCATCTTTTTATTAAATTTATAGTTAACTATAGGTGACGTGGAAGTCCCAAGGAGGGTACCATTCATTAATGGTAGTGAGTTGAGGGGCACAACTTAGAAATTTGAAAAAGCATGGGTACACCTTAGAAACTCAACTACCTTAGGGGCATAGCTTAGAAAAACCCATATTTTTTTTTGAAAATACTTATACTATTACACAAAATATAGAAAGCTAGTTTTGAAAATATGATTCCCTAATATCATACGGTAACACAATCATCATACTTAATTACACAAGCATAATTGGCACACAATAAATCAAAACAATTTCCTAATGGGATTTTAAAGATGATTGACATTAAAAATTACATTGATCGTGCGTAAATATCAAGGTAATTAAACTCTGAAATGTTCACCTAATAGCCTCCGTCTACAAATAAACAGATAATAAAACTAAGTCAATCTGACTTGTATAGCTAATAGCCTAATTAATACAAAGTTAGTAGTAGGAAGAGGGAAAAAGAGAGAATTCCTATAAGTTAACAATGGGGAGAAAAATAAAATTTGAAAGAATAATCTAGTGGCCCACTATATATCCACATTACTTTCTCCTCCTGGTGTGCAAATTCCCACGTACCAAACCCCAAAGTTTCTTCCATTAAAATATGTTTCAATGGTGTCTATGTTTTTAACAGAAGGAAAACAACCCATTTTCTCAATGAAGTTCCAGTTTGTCAATTACAACAAGAGACAAGTTTAAAGAAATTGAGTGGGTAAACAAGAAATCATGGAAAGGTTTAATCAGTGTTTTGAATTGGCCAAATTCAATTCACTAGAAGGGAATTACAGTAAGAACCATTGCTTACTAATAAAATATCGGTCGGGATGACGACTTGGGTAAAATTGAAAGATATGGATATTGTATCAGCTTTAGGATTTAGGTGATTTTTGTTGGGATCGTGATGACAACGATAGAGGAGGATGATGAATATGTTTAGGAAATTTTTTAAATTACCACCCAAAAATGTAATCATTTTTGAACTAACCACCCATTTAATTTTTTATTTTAATTACCACCTCTTAAATTAAATAAATGCTCAGATTACCGCCCATTTCGAAAATCCGGTGGATTTTCCATCTGTGGGCCCCACCTAATGCTTATCTTGACCATTTTAACTGATTTTTCTATTTAAAAACGCTCTCCTTACTTCAATTCACATTTTTCTCTTTGAAATTTGGTAGAATTTGGTGAAGGAAATGTGAATTAAAGTATAGAGAGCGTTTTTAAAGAGAAAAATCGGGGAAAAAAGCAGTCAAAAGGGTCAAAATAAGTGTTAGGTGGGGCTTACAGACGGAAAATCCATCGAATTTTTAAAATGGGTGATAATCTAAGCATTTATTTAATTTAAGGGGTAATAATTTAAAATTAAAAATTAAATGGATGATTAGATTGAAAATGGTTATATTTTTTGGTGGTAATTTAAAAATTAACCATCTATTTATAAATCAGTCTTGACGGTATGTATCACTCTAGAAGATTTATAAGATGAGCTAATTCAAGTTTATCACTACGAGAAACAAATCTTCTTTATCTAGGGGTGACGTTATTTTCTTTGGTAAAGTAAGGGCAATTACACATAAGTAGTTTGGCCAGATGTTAACTACTGAGTTGTTTATCGTTAACTTCGAATTTTGTTGACCGTGTACTTGTAGTCGTACCTCTCCTCAATAAATTTCTCTGTCCTCTCTCTCTCCTCATTTAAACTCTCTCTCTCCTAAGAAAATTGTTCCTCTCTCTCCTCCAGAAGTATCACCATTATCACCATTGGAGTACTTGAGAAGTAGTTAAATTACTAAAGGACATGAGTCGATCTTTGCACCTATAAGAACTTAAACCTGGGTAATCCACCATTGGAGCGAATTGGAGATTTCTAATAGCTTATTGCGGCTCATTACTAGTATGGTTTTTAATGTTAAGTTTTTATTTAAATGTCATTTGATTGTGATTGGGAAATCTAGTTAGGATTTCAGAATTAATGCTATTATTTGATTGAATCAATTGTTTGCAATATCAGGACTTCTAGTTAGGGTTTCCAAATTAATGTTATTATTTGATTGAATCAATTTGCTTGCAATATCGGGAGTTCTAGTGAGGGTTTCCGAATTAATGTTATTATTTGATTGAATTAACTGTTTGCAATATCGGGACTTCTAGTTAGGGTATCCGAATAAATGTCATTAGTTGTCGCTCATTGAATCAATTGTTTGCAATATCAGTGTCGTTCTATCGCACTTTAAATTAATTATCAGAACTCGTTATTGTGTTTATTTCATGCGAATATCAGCTAAATTGTCAGTTTGGTGTTCTTATTGTCTTAAGTATTTGTTAATTTTTGATTTGTGTAGTGGTAGTGGGGAATGAGTTGTTCTATGCTAATATTAGACTGTTAAGTGGCCGGATTAGAGGTGTTGAAGGTGATATATTTATTTTATGAAAATACGTAGGTATATGTGTTGTTGTCCCTCCTAAATTACACCAATGGAAATCGCACATTTAAAAGAAGATTGCTCCTGTGTTGATCTTGAGTTGGTATATATCTCTATTCCTTTTTTGATTTTGAATTAGCTAAATTAATCAGTTAATTGATTTACTTATCAATGTTTACCTGATGTTCTAGGAACTTGGTCGGTTTACCAAACGGAAAAGGCATATTCATCAGGTTTTGTATATATGCACCCAGTAAGTATGTTACAGTTGGAAATTATAGTATACTTTAAATCTAATCGTGTGTGAAAAGGATGGCAGTGTGAGGTGTGGGAAGCTTGGACCACTACATCCAGAGATGTTTAAGGTTACCTGTGCTTTAATAGATTGGTCTTCTGCTTACGTTGTCTACTTTAGTGAATTATATTCACTTCAACTTGTTCATAGGAGAACTTCCTTACTGTTAAAGGGGCATTAAAAGGAAGGGGGGAAGTTTTGAAATATTTTGCTTGTGGTAGCTCTAAGGTTTGTTTGCTACTCTGCTAATGTATGCACCATATCCTTTTTGGTCAATTGGGCTGTAATATACCACCCATTTGATGATGTACATGCACCCAACTTGACATGCCATATAGATTCATTTGGTATAATTTGTCAAAAGTTTGATGGAAGACGTTGGAGATGGGTAAATTAAATGGGAATTGGTGGTTTAATGCATCTTGACTCGTCAGATATGCAATTACCCAGGCAATTGGCATATTGGGTGTTGACTCGTGTTGATCCTTTTAATAAAATTCTTATATCTCTAGATGGTAAGGAGTTTAGTTTATCTCCTAATCAAGTGTATTGGGTGTTGGGAATTCTTAATTATGGGAAGGAAGTCCCTACCAAGAAGAATATGACATCAAAATTAAAAGACAAGGTTGAAGCAATATTGAGTAAGTATGGGTAGTCGTGGGAAACTAGGTGTAATGGTTATGAGGGTAAGGTTTATACTAGTAAGGGAATATCTGTGAATTCTTGGCTTATGGAAAGTCTGGAGGGTGAGTGGACGGAGGGTGAGGAAGTTGAATTCAAGACTATGTTTCTATTGATGTCCCTCCACATGGTATTATGTCCAACCCAATCACCTAGACTTTAAGCCGATCTTGTTCCTGCACTAACATGTGCATAAGATAGCATGGATTATGATTGATGTGGGTTGGTGGTTTCGAAGTTATTAGGTATTGTATCATCGTTTGCGCGTAATTTTAATGCTAATGGTTATGATGGAGGATCTAGAAGCTGTTTGTTATTTATTGTGGTAAGATATTCAATAGCATAATTTGCCATATTGTTTGATTTGTATTGTGTATTAGTTGTCTTAAGATGTGAACAGGTTATGTACTTGGACATGCACAATATAGTGCCGCTACGAAGAGGTGTTTTTCCTAGGATTAATGTCTGGAATATGCAGGAAATTGGCTTAGTTGTAAGGCTTGATCGTCACTCCGCTGATGGTGACTTTGGTAAAATGGGGGTGAGTCTAGTACTGGACGATGTTGTTATTAGTTTTTTTAAGCAAGTATTCTCTTTCTTAACAAAGGTGAACAAATTTCAGATGATTGATGTTGATATGGAGAGAGTCATCCCAAGGAGGCTTGGGATAGCAATGGTCCGAGTTTGATTCAAGTTTGCAATAAAATACTCTTATACTCAATTCAGAAGTAAGAGTAGTCAGGAATACATGTGACTGTTATTGTTTTTTAATGTACAGCCTAACGAGGAGATTCCATTCATATTCAAACCTCCTAAGGTAAGGAGGATTAGATGTGCGACAAATCCCTGTTTTGTCCGGAATCCGCTACCTGCGGAATCAATCCTTTATATGGAGGTTAGCATGTTTAATAGTAATAAGGATTCATGTTCTGCTGATATGAATTTGTTTATATTATTGTGTGTTTGTGTTGTACTTAAGGATGGCAATGGGTCGGATATGTACTGGATCCGATTGGATCCAGATCCAAATATGTTTTTGCCCCCTGGATCCATATCCGATCTGGATCCGTCGGGTATGGAAAAGGAAGATCCATATCCATATCCGTTGGAACCTACGGATACGGATCCAAAACAGATCTTGCACATTGTACCTATTTTTTAAGCAAAAAAATTAGTTTTTAATTAAAACAATGGTTCAACTTTCAAACTCTAATAATACAAGACAACTTATACAAATCTCAATATTCCTCTAATACAATACAAACAAGTACAACCAATTTGTGAAATATGATGAGCATCCAAAATCCATTTCTCAAGAAGCCTTTGGGCCAACTACCAAGAGGGCTGAAAAAATGAAAAATCAAACAGTGAGCATCCAAAATCCAAAACATGCAATTACTGAAAAAATGAACAGTGAGCAACAACCATATAAATCCACTCATTAGGATAATATACTAACAAATTAATTATAAAGCATGACAAAAATAGCTTTAATAAAACAAACATAAAGTATAGAATTTAAGGATTAATAAAACTACATACCACAAATCATCGCACTGTAAGTTACTTAAGGACTTGCGGTCGTCGGAGAGGATGGGTCGGATTGTTGGACTCACGATCGCCGGAGAGGGCTGTTGGAGTCACTTGCGGAGTTGCTACGGTGGAGTTGTTGCGGTGGAGCCATTTGGGAGAGACAAAGAGAGATGAGAGAGAGTTAGAGAGGTGTGTGTGATTTTAGGGTTTGGGGGTTTGGTAGAGTTAAGAGTCAGAAAGACATCAACTCATGTGGGGTGTGGGATGGGCTTGTATTTTAAAAATAATTTTAGCTTTTAAAAAACGGGTAAACGAATCCGGATATGGGTATTTGAGTCAGACCCATAACCAGATCCGTTTTTATAGGATAGGATTCGTATCCGACCCGGATCCGTCGGGTCCAATTTTACAATATCCATATCCGTGAAAACGGATATGGATCCACGGATCCGGGTCGGATACAGATCCATTGTCATCCCTAGTTGTACTCATATTCTATGTACTGGTGGACAGACGGGTGAAAGGATATGCAATGTTCAACAAGAAGAGGAAACCAATTGTGACGACTTAGTTGTATGGTAGCTTGCGCTACTCGAATTTTCGTAGTTAAATGAGTCCATTCTTTGTACAAATACCATTAAGAATTTATCATTGTAACATTACCATGGGAATAATAACAATTACGAGATACGGGATTGAATGTAATAATACCAATTAATGTCATGTTGTTGATCCCTAACAGGTACATGAGGTGTTCCCTAACATGTACACACAATGAGCTTCCTAATAGAAGCATGACAACATGTTAAAGAGTGAAGCTTGGACTGCGAAGATGATAGCAAGTTCCAGAGGAACTTGGTCTGCGTTTTAGAAGTGGAACGTTGCCCCAAGATCTAGAATACATCAAGACTACAAGATTCCAGAACAAGAGTTTTAGAGAAACAAAATGAAGATAGAGAAATCAAAGCATATCGCTCTAGGATTTATGTAAGTATGTTGGACATAAAAGTCAGTCTGGAATAAGTCTATAAAAGCAAGGTGAACTCCTGATAGTTAATGAAAATAGAGTTATTGACTTGTTAGGAACTCAAAGACCGTCAGAGTTTCAAAACCTAATAGGAACTTAAGTCTGCAAGTCTTTAAAGGTCGGTTTTTAATGATATAATTATTTACCTAATACATGCATATCTTTTAGGGATTTGATTTTCCAGAATAAAGATATTTATTTTCTAATAAATCCCTTTTTAAAAAAGATAAGTTATTTTTGGAAAGTATTTTCAGCAAAAATAAGTTTTGAATAAAATCTGATTTTATGATAAGTATATCTTTGGAAAAAGATAAGCTAGTATATTTGGAAAATATAAGTTTGGAATAAAATTCAATTTTATGATAAGTATATCTTTGGAAAATAATAAGCTAGTATATCTGGAAAATAGAAGTTTGAAATAAAATCTTATTTTATGGTAAATATATATATTCTTAACAAAAAGATATATTTTTAGAAAAAAACATATCTTTTAAACATATCTTTTGATAAAACTTATCTTTTACGAAATGAAATATTTAATTAGGCGTACTATAAATATGCTTATATATATTCATTCAAAGTTGAGGCTGACGAAGTGCAGTGGTCGTGCTTAATGGTTTAATCCTTCAGCACGAAGCTAAGTCAAACCTCCACGTCAAAGTTTCATTCAGGGTTTTGTTTCAGTTCGTCTAGTAAGTTCCAGAGAGATCTTAAGTGTCCATCATATTAGTTGTATCTCTTCATTCATTGATATGTATGTAAAGTTATTCTTTGAGATCTTGTAAAGGGAAAAAGGGTTTTTAGTGTTTTATGTATTGGGGTGTGAAAGTTCATGAGATTCTCGTTATTATAATTGTAAGAGTGCAAAGTGTGAGCTTCTAGGGTGAAGATGAGTGAACTTTTATTGAGAGGCCGAGTGAATGGTACTATAGGAGCATTGAGTAGAAATCTAAGTCCGGGATTTAGGTTGGGTAGGATAGGGTCCTATCGAGTAGCAAGTTCAATCAAGAACTTGTGAGAAAGGTGCAGTTGTAATAGGTTTTAACTAGGAGTGTTTGGCCTATTATAGTGGATTGGTTTGTTTTAAAATCCCTTGGAGGGTCGAGGTTTTATTTACAGTTAGGTCCTGGATGGTTTCCTCGTAAAATCTGATTTGCATTGTCTAACTTCCTAACAGCAATAAGTTTTATATTCCGCGAAAAGTAGGCACTAGGAAAATACTACAATTCACCCCCTTGTAGTATATCATCCATATAACACGTACAAAAAATATTAACTACTTTTTTTTTCATTGTCAAAGATCCAACCTTTATGGCTACTAGTCGCCCTCTAGCGGGCTACGCGCGCGATAATTCTGCGTTTTTTTGCTTTGGTTGTTCTAGGGAATATTTCAAGCATTACCCCAAAGTTGAACCCCACTGTGATCATACACTAAAGTACGGTGGCGTCCAAAGGGAAGGAAGCTAGAGCAAAAGAGTCGCCAACAAGTTTTAGGAACTTGTAAACCGTTCACAGGGTGAAGGTTACACACCTTAACGATCCAGGAGATCGTTAACTCCAATAGGTCTGGAACCAAGACTGGAAGTTCGGGGATGAAGGTTGTAGACACCCATTTGTGTTTCCCCAAAACCAAACCCAGTGATGAGTACCCCTTTCACGTTGAATCATAATCGAATGAAGTGAGAGTGTAGAAAGTTTAGTGTTGCGGATAGTTTTAATTTCTTTTCTCTTCTCTCTGTTTTTAAAAACCTATTTTAAGAAAATAGCCAATCCAGTTTGATTCGTCCATGATATGGGTCCAATAATAGTGTAGTTGGATAGGGTTTGAATAGACCTTTCCAACGATATATTATAAGCCCAATTCCGATGAATATTGAGGAAGTTATGGCCAAATTACTGAACTGGGCCCGGTTTTAGCCTCATATGCGGCCCAATGATCTATAGTAGAGCGTGATATAGATTTATCAATTAGGAATGATTTTTGTCTTCTAGATTCTTCTAGAAGGTTCTTTTCATTCCTAATTCAATTAGCATTGATAAATTGACTTTTGTTGACTTTTTAAAGTTTTAATCAGAACATAAGAATGTTTTTGAGGAAAATACGATTTTATCCTCCTGTACGGCAATTTCTATCTGATTTTAGAAAACGCGTCAATAATTAAGTTAGCGCCAAACGCCAGCATTAGTGCCTGACGCTAAGCTTGGCGTCTGGCGCTAGCGTTAGCGCCTGGCGCTAATGTCAGCGTCTGGCGCTAATTTCGTTTTACGCGTCAGAACTCTGTTTTGATTTTTTTATCTTTTTGGCTGGTTTTCTCTATAAATAGCTTCCTAAAAACTCCGTTTTCATTCAACAGTTTTCATCAATTTTCACCAACTCTCATCAAGAATTCTTGATTCTCTCTCTCTTTCTAAGCCTAGCCTTTTACAAACACAATTCCTCATATATTAGCACTAGAAACACCTAGCCAAATTTGAAGTTGCCTTCGCCCTAAACGTGAAAGATATTAATTTCTAAGGGTTTGGTCCCAAATCTCTCTTTCAATTATTTAATTTAATTGTTTTGATTTTAATATTTTCCTTGAAGTTACTAACGCGTGTATTATGTTATTAGAAAGAGATACGAAGCATCCAAGTAAGTACTTTAATGGTTTAATTGATATTATGATATAGAAATCATGCTTAGATTGTTATTTTGATCTTCCTAGTATCATGTCTAGGGTAACTTTAATATCAAGTATGATTAAAAGTATGATGCCTTTTATGTTTTTCCTAATATTTATGATTGTTAGTATCATGTTAAGGTTAAAGCTCTGATTTTTTGATGCTTAGTGACATGTTAGGGTTTGTTATTAATCTTGTTAGTATCATGCCTAGGATCCTGATGTTATTATGCTTTAACATTATTATGATTATTATTATTATAATTATTTTTATTATTATTATTATTATTATTATTATGTTGCTTGATTATGTTATTGCTTGATCACAACTTTTATGCATGTTAAAGGGAATTTGTACTTGTAATCATGCTTAATAAGATAATTAATAATCTTATTTAGGGTTAATTTGATTATTACTCAAGTGATCGCCAATAATAGTTTTATTTGTGCATTAATACTCAACAAACATAGATAAACAGATTTAGGGTAATCATATTGATTGCATGTTAGTCAGAAAGCGCACATGAATACGATCAGAATAAAGTAGAGGCCTATTATTAGGGCAGGTTCAATCTCTTTTAGGTTGGATTTGTACCTTCATCCCCGAACTACCAGTCATGGTTCCAGACCTATTGGAGTTAACGATATCCTGGATCGTTAAGGCGTGTAACCTTCACCCTGTGAACGGTTTACAAGTTTCTAAAACTTGTTGGCGACTCTTTTGCTCTAGCTTCCATCCCTTTGGACGCCACCATGCTTAAGTGTATGATCAAATTGGGGTTCAAGCTAGGGGTAATGCTTGAAATATTCCCTATAGTTTTTGGCGACTCCGCTGGGGAGGATTTCTATTTTAATTCCTGAAATTTATTTCGGCAATGATTTAGAATGAGTAGATGAGACTCGAAACGTTCTAAGTATTTCATGTGCGTAATTTTGATTAACATTATTGTCATATGCATAAAAAAAGATTTCATTGGAAAGACCATCCGTAATGAGTTAAAACATAGGATTTTACACGTAGGAAATTTGAGGAATATCTTTCACAACTGGGAGCGAAATAAAACTGCGCGAAGCTGGAAAATTTTATCGAGCACAAAAAGCTGCTGAGGCATGTAGGAATTAGCGTCAGCGAACATAAGTTAGCGCCAGTATTTTGACTTTAGCCAAAAGTTGGCGCCAATCTCTGTTTGCTGGCGCCAAATTCTTCCAATACCGAGCCAGAAATATGCGTTCTAATTTCGACCAGTTTTTAGCATTGTTTGCTCGATCCTACTTCCTGATTGAGTTTTTTCTCACTTTTCTGAAACTCATATGTGTTTTACATATGGA